AGTGACACCAGAATGCCCTGAGACTTGGCTGAGCTCCAGCTAAACTGCCTCACAGAGCGCCCCCTACCCGCTGTCCAAAAGCCCAGGACACTTACAGCCCCAATCTACTCCACAATAAAAGAGAAAGATTCCCCAACCTCTAGGGGGCAGTGGCTGCAGAAGAGATACAGCTGGCTTTTCTTTTTGGTGGCCCAGCATCTGGAGGCTGGGGAATCCCCATAATGGGAATTCAGCCTCCCCAATGACAACAGAGGCTCCAAAGCCAATGGTGTGATCAGTCAAATTATGGGCCTCAGTTCCCCTTCGTTTCTATGTCCCACCCTTTGCCACACCGCTGTGCATTCTTCCTGCATAAGGTAGGGGATATTTACCCAGCCCTGATTTTGAGCACGTCATTTGCTTTGGCCAAAGGAATGTGGGTAGAAGCAGCAGCACAAGAGTTCCGAATCTGGACTTTAGGAAGCCTCACGTGATCCCACTTGTCCTCTGGCACCACTGTAAGAGGAGAACATAGGTTGACTAGCTGCTGGTCCCAGGAAGATGCAAGGTAGGTGGAGATGAACTTCCTGGTTACTCCACAGTCTTGCACCTGGAAGCAGAGCTGCTCAGCCAAGGGAAGCCTAGAACAGATACCCCACCCCAGCTGAGTCACAGACATGTGAAAAATATTTTTGCATGCCATTGAGACTTGGGGTTGCTTGTTACACAGCAGCAGCAGCTGACTAATACACTGAGGTACTAACTTTCCCCACTCCCTTGGGCATTGGAGCAGGACATGGGCTGGGCCAACAGGATGTTTCCAAGTGATGCAAAGACACAGCATTGGGGCAGGAGCATGTGGTTTCCAGGGGCAGCTATGGCGGAGTACCAATGGCAGTGCCAGTTGAGGCATCTGGATTCTGTGGTGGTGGCAGGAGTGACCTCACCAACCAGTTCTCTGGCATGATTTCAGCTAATCACCCTCGCCTCCTTGATTTCTACCACTTTCTGAGCCTGGTTTTCCAGCCTTCCTGCCACTTTTGTGAGGAACTGAACAGACTTCCAATGCACATTTTTGCTATTTAATTTGGCCGGTGTTTCCGCTGCTTGCAAATTAAAACCTTGACTTACATAAGATGGGGAAACCCCAGCATCTGTTACATTTATATTATAATTTTGGAACTGTTTGGGTTACAATTAGCAGAATATCTGACCACTAGTATCTTAAGTGGCACAGACATTGTGATTTTTCATAAAAAGGAGCCTGGAGGTAAGAGGTTCCAGGGTGGGACTGGTGCCCCCATGGTTTCAGGGCTCTGGGAGGCAGCATCTCTGTGCCTGTCAAATTTAATTTGCTCCTCATGGCCACAAGATGGCTACAGAAGCTCCTGGCATCATGTCCTCGTAGGAAACAGTAAGGGAGGGAAGGGGGCAATAAAACCTTTCCTGTGTCCAGAAACCCCTACCCCAGACCTCCCCTTAAAACTTGCTGGCCAGAACTGGGAAATGTGCCCAGATCGAGAAAACTCCCCACAAAAGACGTTGCCAAGAATGGCTCAGCCAAATCCTAAATTAACCCCCGAGGCTGGGCACCAAACCATGGCTCTGTTGGTGAGGAGGGTGAAATGATCGCCAGGATGGCAACAAGCAGGGTCAGCCACAAGAATTAAGCTGGGCCCTTTGTTGTGGGGAGGAGCACGGCTTCGTGGCCCTCTTGCCCTTGGGGTATGCAGGCCAACGGTGCCCATGGATCCTGGAGTGGATGAGACTCTGCTCCCACCACCCCACCCCAAAAGCTGTCATTTGTGCAACAAACATTCAGGCTGTGCCTCCTGGGACACATGGCCAGGTGCCCCTAATAAAACTGATGCGCCGAGGCTCCACCATGAGAAGCAAAAGCTCCAGGGCCCGTGAGAACAGAGGGGCTGGAGCTGCATTCTCAGAGATGAAGCCAGGGGCGGGTTTCCAAGCTGGCCAGGTCTGGGGCAGATTCCCACCTCACACGGCTCCCCCGAGGCCCCCTTGGCCCTCGCTCTCTGTGAGGCCCCAGAAGTCACACTTGGCCTCCCTCTCGCGGGCCTCCATCCCACCGTCCCAGGAGATGGCGTTTTCCCACAGCCCAAGCCCAGGTGCAGAGGGAGGCTCCTGCCGGCCACATCCAGGGCCACGGTGGGAAAGCAGGATATCTGGAAGCAGACGGGCTCTCCACAGGCTCAGTCCCTACGTGCCCAAGCTGCCCTGGGCAAAAGGTGAAGGAGGCGATGAGGTGATGAGCTCCAGACCCCTTCAGGGTGCTGTGCAGAGGGCAAGGCTAGTCCAGGAGCATGTACACATGTGAGCTGTGTGTTTAATTGTGCGTGAGTGAGCATGTGAGCACGTTACACGGCCTATGAACAAGGCTACCTGTGAGTGTGACCACGTGGATGTGGGTGTCAGATGCATGAGTGCAGGTGTGCGTGTGAGCGTCTGCGTGCCTGTGTGCACGCATGTTCCGCCTCCCTCTGAAGGACACAAATGTGCACAAAGTGAAGATGCAAGCCAGTTTCTGCTAAATTAAAAACAGCTTTTTCGTGTTTAAAGTTTACAATACGAAAAATAATTTTCCTTTCTTCCGGGGGGGTGTGGGTGTGGAGATGGAGGGGCAGGGGGCCCCTGAGAACATTCCATGAACCAGCCCAGACAGTTATGCACAATCGACCCAGTTAGATATGGCAGCACCTCCCCGCCCCCAACTCCGCGCCGGCGCCCCTGCCAGCTCGTTGGGGACAAGATGTTCTGAGGTGTGAGCTGATCTGGGGGGACTTGCAGCTGGCAAAGGCTTCTCCCTGCCCCCCCCGAAGGGGCTGTGCCTCCAGCAGGGAAGGGTTCTCTTTGGGGGAGCTCAGGTTGGGGGTGATGAGAAGGGGCTAGAATGTTCCAGTAAGTCCCTGAGGGCTGCTGTTTTTCCACTTCTATGCCCCTGGCAGTGTGGGCTCCTTACTGGTTCCCAACCAAGTTCTTATTTCCACCCTGCACCCCCATACACACACACAGACTCACCCCGGGCCCCGACAGCCACTGCACAGGAGCACCAGGCCTGTGGGTACGTTTTGAGGATGATCCCGGAAGCCCCACAGGGAAGCACAGTGACTTCATGCTTCCTTTAGGACCTGCCCTGCTCCTCCCCTATCACAGCCTCTGCGGAGGGGGGCTCCCCAGCTTCCCAACCTGGAGTCCCAGGACTGAGCAGATGGAGACAGAACCTGCCAGGGGCTGTGGGGCTGGCTGATGGCAGGGGGCCGGGTCACCAGGTGCAAGGAACCACCTGGAAAGAGTCTCTGGAAGGCTGCCTTGCCCCGGCTGGTTGCCCTCTGTCTTCCGGGCGCCGGGTGGAAGGAAGTCCTAGCCTCCTTTCCTGCTGCCCCCAGGCCTCTGAGCCAAAGGCAGGCCCCACTTCCGGCTCCTCTGCAATGCTGGAAAAGGGCGAGGGGGGAGAGGAGCCCCCAAACATGCAAGGACACGAGGAATCTGCGACCCGTCAAGCCCCACAAGCTCAGCACTAGGCCCACTCCATCTTTTTACCATAACATTTTTATTAAATAAAAGGAAAGTATTGGGAGACGACGTCTGCTAAGGTATGAGGTTAATTCTTTACATGGCGAGCGGGTCACAGAGACACGACATCAATTGTCCACTAGCAGCAGAAGAGACACTTTAAGTTGCCCCGAGGGGACAAATCTCATTTATAAGACAGTGGTGCTGGCCTCTTAAAAAAAAGCAAAAGAGGGCTTCCCTGGTGGCGCAGTGGTTGAGAGTCTGCCTGCCGATGCAGGGGACATGGGTTTGTGCCCCGGTCCGGGAAGATCCCACATGCTGCGTGCGGAGCGGCTGGGCCCGTGAGCCATGGCCGCTGAGCCTGTGTGTCCAGAGCCTGTGCTCCGCAACGGGAGAGGCCACAACAGTGAGAGGCCCGCGTACCGCAAAAAAAAAAAAAAGAAAAAAAAAAAGAAAAAAGAAAAAGAGAACAACAACCAAAAAAATGGTTTTGAGGTTTAAACACCAAAACAAATGTGGCTGGAGATGCCGCAAAGCCCTTGAAGGCAGAGGCCTCACAGCCCGCCTGACTTCCCACGCAGGCTGGGCACAGGCCTGCGGCATGTCAACCTGAACACAGGGTTGGGGGGAGCAGAGGGCTGGAAAGAGGGGGAGAAATAAAAAGCACGGGACAGGCCTGTGGAATGCAGACGCACTGTGAGATTCTGAAGCAGGCGTCCCCTTTCATTCACGGGACCGGGACAGGGATGAGGAGAGTCAGCCCATTCTTATTAAGGCCCCACACATCACCCAGGGCCAAATGGGAAGGCCTGATGCCCATAAGGACGGTCTCTGGGAGCTGGCTGTGTTGTTTTTCCTCCTGAAAGCGGATGACAGAACACCCTGAAGGTGCTAAGACCCAGGCCAGGAATGGAAATGAGTGCCGGCTCCCTCCTGCCCAGCAGCTCAGGCTTCTTGGGGAGGCGGAAACGTGCCCTGCTGGCCAACCCGAGCCAGGTACTTGCCAGCCGCTTCTCCTGCTCCTGGAGGTTCATATGTTACAGAGATTTGGGGTGTGTTTATTTAAAAAAGGACGCATGCAACTCATGGGGGTTGGGGGGAATTGGGGGATCAACCGTGAACGAGTTCGTATCTGCATTTCTCAGACCTCCAGGCAGGGGGAGGGGAGAGAAGTGGGGCAAAGCCACACCACGACGCCTCAAAGGAGACCCCGATTCCTGCCTGCCAGCCAGCCAGCGAGAACTGAAGGTGGGCGAGGAAACCGCCTTGGGTGTGAGTTTGCTGCCACATCAGCCTTGTTGCTGGCAGCCTCCCCCACTGGGCACAGAGCCAGAACCTGCTTCAGGAAGGAAGGGAGGGTGAGGAGGGTGCCTTATGCAAGACCAGCCCCTGGGGGTGGGGATTCAAAGTTCCCCGCCCAGACACACACCCGCCAAGCCCCTCGCAGAAACAGCAGGCGGCCAGGCCGGGAACCGGTGTCTGGAGAGCTACCTCCTGGTCCTGGCCCGGGGCAGCAGGACGGGGGCACAGGCGATGCCGGCAAAGGATTCCGGGAAGTGCAGGTCGCGCTCCCACTCATCCGTCTCGGTGTTGTACACCTGCACAATGCCTGTCACATTGTTGAGACGCCAGTTGTAGCCCCCAACGATGTAGATCTTCCTGTCCAGCAGGCAGCAGCCGGCCTCTGACTGTCCGGCCCGCATGGGGCTCACACTGGTCCACTGGTCTGTTTCGGGCACGTAGTACTCCACAGCCAGCACATCGAAGCAGCGGTCAACGTGGTCCATGCGGCCACCGAGGGCGTAGATGCGGCCGCCGGCACCCACCATGGCGTGGAGCACTCGGGGCTCGCTCATGGGAGCCTTGAACTCCCACTGGTCGGCCTCGGGGTCGTAGCAGTGCAGGGCCTTCTTGTCCTCCACCGAAATGCCGTAGCCGCCCGAGATGTAGAGGCGGCCCCCAGATGAGGCACCCGCGTGGCCCCATGTGCGGCGCTTCAGTGAGCAGGCGTAGCCCCACTCATTGCGCCGCGGGCAGTACCTCTCAACTGAGGCCAGGCTGCCGGCCCGGTTGCGGCCGCCCGTGGCGTATACCATGCCGCACAGCACGTTCAACTGGAACTGGATTCGGCTCTCCTGCATGGCCTGCAGGCGCAGCCAGCGGGTCAGGGGGGG